TGCACTGCCCGTAGCAGAAGCGATTGATGATGGTGCGGCTGATGCAGCCCTCCTCGCTGACAGTCTGCCGCAGGGGCTGCGTCTTGCACCAGTCGCTCTTGAGGTACTTCCTCTCAGTGACCACCAAGGCCTCCTGGCTGGAGGCCAACACCTCCTTGTTCAGCTGCTGCCTACGCTCTGAGTGGTTGCTGCTGCTGCCTTTGTACGGAGAGGGAATGGCGCCTGCAGGACGGTTTTTCCTCGTGTCCGTTACTCGAACCAGCGTTGCCATCAGAAAAACGGACAAGGCAAATTTCCAAATCATCCTGCAATGGCAACAGAAGTCACTGTTAGAGAGACACATTTTCAAACAACAGAGTTGTAATGGAGTTTAACTTTACCCATGCCTTTAGAAGTAGTGATCTTATTGCCTTAGTAATCCCATCCCTTTTCTGAGGAGATTAGCACTATTCTAGGGTCGTTACTTATCATGAAGAGGCCAGGCCCTTTGGAAAGTCGCACTGCTCCCTCTCACTCCTCACAAATTCTCCAGCTACTTGCTTTTTACCCACAGGGACTCTGCTGTTTTGATGACTGAAGTGGTGGTTTTACCACCAAGCTTCAGCCAGAAAGGTTTCCTCCTTCTCTGTGAAATCCTGGCCCAAATACCTAGGCAAACTTCTGGCTAGCAAAGGCTCAAGAGGCTCCTGACAATATAGTAATAGCTGTTTTGGGGATGGCAGAGGAGAGGGGAAGGGAATACCAGGTTACACAAAGTGAACTCCCATATGCCTCTTCATCCCCTGAGACCCAGCCCAACCTCATTCCACACAGAAGTAGCACGGGGTGTCCAAAAGTCTATTTTTATTATTTTAAATTGCTTCTGAAGTTTCTTGGGGCTTTTATGGCACTTACAGGCTTGTATTTGTTGTCTTTGTGGGAGGCCAAAAACTTGATGGATTTATTTTTGCAGTAAGAGGAAATGCTTAAACACAATTTCGAGGACTTCACAACTGCAACGCCTCTTGGGCAAATGGCTTAAGAAGGTCTGTAAACACGAGAGGATTCAATATTTATTTTAGATGTTAAGGAATAGGGTAGAGCATGATCTGGTTGCTAAGCTGAAATAGTCAGCCAGATGGCAAAAATATTTTTTCCTGTGGTTGTCTATTAGGTACTCTTGTTCTGTGGAGCATCTCTTACCAGCTCTTGTCCAATTCATTTTAGTAATGTGTCTCAAAGCACTTCCAGATTATCACAGTAGTGTACTAAATCTCCTCATGAAGTCAGTGCTCACCAGTGAACTGCTACAACTGATTTGACAGTTCATTTCATATCATTCTCCCTGGGAAAGGAGAACAGAGGGTCTCTACAGTGCCAGAACTGGGTGCAGCACAGAAGCTTCCCATTTGGAGGTAAGAACACTTCCAAGTCTTTCTAAAAGTGCTCTGCTGCCCTTTGTTCTTAATGGATAATTTTTTAATAGTGTACAGATGAAACACTCATCCCTCTCTTCACACTAAAGCTTCAAACCAAATAATGATTTTGGTTTTTTTTCCTCTAAAAAGATGCCAAGACAAAAAACTACCACCAGACCGGTAAGTATAACGTCTAACACTGTAAACACTTCACATGTTGCAAAGGCACTCCTATCTGGAAAACGTGCCATTTTCCAAACAATGACACCAAAAGATAACAAAAGTGTTTGCAGTAAAGGCGCAAAAGAAGACAACAGTGCTGACAAATGCTTCTCACCTAATAAAGCCGGCCTAATGTATTTAACTCCTGTGGAGATAAAGAGGAGGAACTACAGACTAGGTGAGATAACATCCCCCTGGGTTATTTTCTATGTCTATGAAATTCCAGTGCCAGACTTGACTAAGTTTCTAAGGGGATAATTTTGAAGTGCTGAAGGAAAGGAAAGTGCTAATCCTATGGCTGTGAACAGAGGATGTCCTGATGCAGAGTTAAATTTCACCGGACTGTGTGCTTGAAACAGAACCACCTTTAAATGGAAACCAGTATTTCTAAAACTCCAAAAAAGCTCATTCATCTGCAACCATGCCATCTGCCCACTGACATCCACTGTAGCCATGGGTACTTTAAATCAGTGGCCTATTTTCACACTGCTTAGCATTCAGCACGCAAGTCCAGAACTTTTGTCCAAAGTCTTTAAATGAAGCAAGACTAGACTTGGCTTTGCTGGCAGGTATTGTCGCCAAGTCCATTGGATGTCAACCCACACATACAGGCCAAAACCTAATCAGGTAATTAGTTTCAGTTGAATATAGTGTTCCATGCTTCCTTTCAAACTGTTCTCATGTTATTCTGTACTGATGGCTGCATTTCAGTAGTAGATAAAACAACTGATCCCCACTACTTTGTGTTTTATATAGAAAGGAGAGGGAAAAAAAACCAAACAGTTACAAGCCTACATCTTCTCGAAAAAAATAGAGATGAACTTTTCACAAGATGCCTTATGCCACATTTGTCAGGCATACTCTTCTACTCTTCTCTTGAAACACAAGGGATATTGCCTCTCCAGTCTCATTTCTCTGATCCTGGTGTAGCACAGGTCCAGAAGCCCATCGGAAGCAGAGATGCACCCTTTCCCCCACACCTTTCTCTTTTCTTGGGATGATTTTACAGTTTGTTTACAACCTTTATGTTCTACAAACCCCTGTCTTACCACAGCCACCCTTTCTTATCATAAAAGGCAAGTTGAAAGGACACATTTCCCTTTTGTTTCGGGTATGGGGGGCAAAGTAGAAATCTAATGTAGGAATTCAGGAAAGCAGAGAGAGAACTAACAACTCAAAATCTAAATTATAGAGAAATATTATAGTAACTTTTTAATTACTGAAATGATTTTATGTAGGCATGGAGAGCCATGCAACAGAGTAAGTAGGATTTGTTCAGTAAGTCTATGTTTATAACTAATAAAGTATTATTAATCAAAGCTGCTATTGTAAGGTTATAAACCAAACGCTGCAGTACATGTCAGCAAGTACTTCTACAGACAAGTAGGAACGCACCACTCATTTCTCTCATTGATCCTCACCAAACTTGAGCCTTAAAATATTTATGTAATAGAATAATAATCTATCTTACACTAGCAGGTCAAATGTGCATTCTGTCAGATCGTGGAATTTCTAATCACAGGGTTGCCCTTTACTAGCCTGCAAATCACCCCTTTCTAAGCCCTGGCACACAAATCCCCTATTCAAGCAAGTAAGAGTGCAAACAAGGTCACCTGGTGCCAGCAATTTGCCAAGGACTACATATATTTATGGTGCTCACATGCAAAGAGAAGAGAAACATCAGTACTCCCAGAGAACCAGAACATTTTGGCAAACTCAATTTGAATGCAAAGCAACATGGTGAATGCTGTCTGTCTGCAGACAGAGCAGGATGAGAAGAAACACAAAACATACTGGAGAAGAATCTGGCTTTTGGCAAGAACAGGGCAGTTCTGCCCTACTTAGATGTAACAAAATGGAACAGCATGTGGCTGATTCCATGCAATCAAGAACTGCCTCAAGAGACTGCCTCTAGAACTTGCACCAATGCCAGCCTGGGCACCCCATTCCTGCTGCACTGGGGTTCCCATGGCAGAGCCAGTGGAGGCTCCTGTGTGACAGTTTCCAACTTCTTCAAGCATTGTTGCCAGCTGCTGCCAGTTCCCCCTCATTGTTTTTTTCTTTTTCTACCACGTGAGCTGAGAATAACTTAATCTTAGACGAGATACTCAGCAAGGCCTGGTTGCATTTACATTTTTTTACAGGTTTTTCCTCCCTGAGATAAGGAAATCAGCATCAAGTACGAGTTCATAGATTCATCAAACCCAGCATGCTGGAGCTGAGCTATCAGGTACCCAGGAGTATAAAAAATCCTTCTTTTGGCCAAGGAGGTAAGAATGCCAAGATCCAGCTCTGTCATTTGCAGAGGTCAGGGCACTGTATTAGGAGGGAAAGACCCAGGATCACTGTGTCTGCACTTAGCTGTATTTCTTCTTTGTATCTAATTACTGCGTAACATAAAATATCTACCAAGGCAGGCTCTCTCCTGCATACCGACCTTCTGGCCCAATAACTCATGCATTCTTGAAAGTAATCCAGCTCCAGAGCAGGACAGACAGTAATGTAACCCCCAAAATAGGCTCTAGTTTTGTGGTTAGGGAAGTTCTCTCTGAATTGGAGCAATAGATTTGATTTCAGAATTCAAGGGCATCTTTTTCGGAGAAGTCCCCCAGTGCAGAAGTGGATGCTACGGTCTGAAAGGCAGGGCAAGACTTAGCAGTGCCCATCTGTGCTGAGCGACTGCTCTGATGTTTCCTCTGGTTTTCAAAGTCAGGACCAGTTTCTCAGCTCAGGATGCAGTTTCTGCCTGGGAATTCCTGTTCTGTGCATCAGCCTACTTCAGAGCTGCAGGTGGACAGAAAGAAAGAGGGATGTAACCGGAAGATCACTGTGATATTTTATATTAGCTGCTCAGGAAATTAGCAGATGTGAGACCCATTTGTTTGCTTTAGCAGGCACACCTACAAAGCACTCAGCATTATCAGTATTCCTGGAAACATCCAAGTCTCTGATATAGGTATGACTCAATCATCACTTCACCAGGACTTTCTGAAGAGAATTCAGAAAATAGTCACAGCCAATTTTTAATTTTTTTTTTTTTTTTAAAGCCCAAAAACCTGCAAAACCTGTCTTGCCATGGAACCTGAGACCCTGCCTATTCAGCTTAATCACAGTATGGATTCATGAGGAAAAAAACTTAATACCATAAATCTACCCTACACGTATCAAAAGTACCATAAGAGTCCATGACTGGAAAGATGATGAACAAATTCAGAGACTCCGTACTTTTGGAAAATCTTGAATTTAATTAATGGCTGAAGAGTTTCCCTTGGAAAAGCAATTCTCTTTAACTGCCAGCAAAAGACAGGCACTACAGACTAGATTAAATCAGGTCCATTTCCATGGTATGATACACAGAGGGCCACATCTGACCACCTGCATCACTCTTTCCCACATTCCATCCTGCAAACTTCAGAGACATGAGAGCTCTCCTTAGGGATCAGCTGAGTGTGCCTGAGTGTGGGAATCCCTATTACCAAAAATTTTTCTAGTCCCAACCTAGTTTCATATTAGACCTACTCAGAAAAAGAATCCGTATAAACCAGTCATATGTATATAAATGTAAGAACATGTTGTACATGGTTAGTTCTCACATTTACGATGGGACGCAAGAAGTGTTCCTTGAAGACAAGCCAGGCAATGGCTTTTCAAAGAACTAAAACTTGGCTTTAGCAACAGATGTGGGA